TTACCTTCTACGGCTTTGCGATCATACCATAGTTTTTGCCTTTCTTTGGCTTCTTCCATATGTTGGACAGCTAGTTCTTGACATTTCCTCATTCAATTCATTAGTTCAAAAATATAGTCCACTACTGTATTTTATTCCTCTTCTTTATCAGATCATTTTTCATACAAGAGCATAATTGGAGTACTTAAATTTCTGCCGTGAACTGATTCTGCGGACGAAGAAACCAGTACTGTCGTGAATAGTGGTTCGAAGAGCAGATAAAGCCTGAGGTAAGATTTTATCACAGCTCCGACCAGATTCTAGACATAAGACTCGAATTCTTTTTAAAGTTCTATGCATCCTCTTTACAGGATTGCTTTGTCGGTGGTAAACAGAACTTCGTACAACTTTAATTCCGAATTTTTCTAGGAAATTTGATGTTAGCGCACTCGTAAGAGATGTAGCTTGGTCGGTTTGTACCTCTTTTGGAAATCTCATTCGACTAAAAATTTGAAGGAAAACATCAACAACCGTGGTTGAACTAAGATTTGCGACAGGAACTGCATCTGGATATTTTGAAGACATGCAGATTGCAGTTATAAGATATTTATTTCCTGAAAATGTCACGGGCAGAGGCCCACAAGCGTCAGCATTTATTTTTGAAAATATTTTTGAAAATATAACAGGGTCAATTTTTAAAGGTTCTTTCTTTTTATCCTGCGGCTTTCCAATTCTTTGACATTTCTCACAAGTTTTAACAAAATTCTCGACATCTTTGTAACAATTTGGCCAATAAAAATTTTTGAATAACGCATCTTTGGTCTTTGTTGCACCAAGATGAGCTGCAATTTCTTCATGACAAATAGTCATCAACTGTTTTCGATATTTTTCAGAAACAACCATCAATAGTCTTTGTGTTCCATCACGATCTTCGTTTTTGAAAAACAGCATTTGCCCTTTCAACATATACCTCGTACTTTTAGATTTTATTTTAGCTTCTTCATAAAGTGGCTTCAGTTCGACGCTCTCCTTTTGTTCTTGTATAAATATTTCTGGAGAGGCCTTTAACAGATCTAATTCTGAACGTTCATATTTCACACGAGGCAAACTTTCATTTCCAGTCAGTGTGTCTTTAAGTTCAATTCCAGAATTTAACTCATCTGTTGAGAACAGATTTTTCTTTTCTTTTAGTCGTCGCTGTTGAGCACGAGTTTGTACGGCGTTTATCATATGAATTTGAATTTCTTCATCTAGTTTTGCTTCTTCAAATAATGCAGCGGTTTTGTTACCTAGAAGATACCTTCCTTGATCTCATGAATTTCATAAGACTGCAGCCTTTGTTATTATATGACCAAGATCACATTCAAGCTCTACCTCAGCCAAAGGTAAGCACACTGGATGTTCTTACAGAGGTGTTCGTATCCACGCCGTCTCACCCTATACATGGAAGGCTGTACATATTTCCAAAGTTTCACCGGTATCTCTAAGTAGGGGCATTTTATAACCATTTACTTTACCTAGGCTGGTTATATGGACCATAATATCCTTAAAACTATTTTTGGAAAATTAAATTTAGGGTACAGTTTCATTGGAGGCTATAGTTTCTAAACTCTTCTTGAGTTTATCACGCTGAGGTCGAAGATGCGAGTAGGATTCGCATTCATAACAACTAGGTTGTCTCCGTTTCTCAAATTCCCTTTCATGAATTTTATTAGTACATTCTGTTCTAATTATAGGTTTAGGATCAAAATCTTTCGAAATTTCTTTAGGATTATGTCTATTATGATAACAAATTTGAATTTTTTCACGTTTGATGACTTTCTTGAAGTTTCAAACCTTGTTTTCTAAGATTTTCGCTCTTAAAGCTCTGTTTAATACTCTCATACTCGTCTAATTTTTCTGCTAGCTCATATGGAGTTTTTAATTTCCTCTATTGGTTTAGAAAATGATCCCTTACTTCCATGGGAAAACCTGTATTTAATTTTCTCGGTAACTATTAAATCTTTCAGATTCTCAAATGACTTAATTTCTAAATTCGCACTCCACTCCAAAAAATAACTATAAAATTCATGAGCATAATTTCTCCAAGACTTTTCAGGAGTTTTTGTGATATCGATAAAAGCACTGTTTCAGCTTTTCACTGTTAAGTTTATATCTTCTTAAGATTAGATTTTTCATATATTCGTACTTAGTCGCATTTTCAGATGGTTCTCTGGCTAACATATTGGAGATTTCGGTGGGTAAAACACCCAAAAGATAAGCCATCCAATCTTTCTTAGGAACCTGAGCCATTTCAGCTTTTCTCTCAAAATTTATCAAATATAGTCCAATTTCATCCCTTTTTTCGTCAAACTTTGGAGTAATTTGTGACAACTGGATTTTGTTGCTCGATTCTACTATATTCACTGTTGATTCTCTACCTCGTATTACTTGATTTTTAATTTCAAGCCGCTTTTTTGCCAATTCATTATGCCCTTGCTTCCTGGGCCAGGCGTTCTTTTCTCGCTTCTTGAGCCAGGCGTTTTCTCGAGCCAGGCGTTCAGCAATTATTGGGTTTAGAATTAATTTAACTTTTTCTTAATAGTAAAACTGACTTTCAGTGATTATTTTTTTAATTTCTGGACCTTACTAGTTAGCGGCACTTCCTCACCTAATTCTTAAACTGCTTCTATTAAACCTTGTTTTCTACCCTTGGAAAGAAATGACATGTTCAGAAATAGAAAAACTCTTCGACAGCATTTCAAAATTAATTTTAAGAGGTTTTTTTACTCAACATTCAAATCAACTTGCTCAATCTAGCATTTTTTTATTAGAAATTCAAGTATGACACAACGTATTTTTTTTTTCTTTTTCTTTCTTTTTTTTTTTTTTTTTTTTTTTTCTAAAACGCTTAATGCAATGAAACGTATGTGCTTTCCGATAAACAAAAATCTGCGAAGCTTGCTCTTAATAAATTATACTAAAGTAAATAAAAAATAATTCAAGCCTCTAAGTTGAGTCACACAACAAAAGTTCTTGATTTGGGTCTCTAATACAAGAGCTCAAATTTCATGATAGAAGTATTCTAATATTAACATAGTAAATTTGCCACTCTAATACAAGAACTCAAATTTCATAATAGAAATATTCTAATGTTAACGTGGTAAATTTGTCATTTTAATACAAAAGCTCAAATTTTATAATAGAAATATTCTAATATTAACGTAATAAATTTGCAACTCTAATACAAAAGCTCAAATTTTTATAAGAAAATCAAATATTTTGACGCTTTAATCCAAAAGCTTAAACTTAGAATATCATTCTATAAGTTGAATTCAATAATAATATGCAACATTTTCATACAAAATGGCACAGTATTCATCAAAACTTATTCTCACAAGTACTGTATTTCTTTTGTTTAAATAAAGACTGGTTTCACCTTCTATGCCAGCGATTACCACCAGATATTTATTCTTTATCAGTCTTTAATGAATTTCACAATTTTTGAAAACAACCAACTTTATTAGTCCTGTATTTAGTGTCTTTATTTCTGCCTAGAGGAGGGACCTTCGTGGAGGACTTTCTAAGGAAACTGGCCCAAAACACGACACCCACCCGCAACCGCCCGTTCCCGTTATTGCGGACCGAACTACCAGTTTCAGCGACAACCGCTCGCCGCTGGTAGGCCTTTTTCAACAAGTGTAAAACATTTTTATCGCGTGAGCGCGTGATATTCTTTACAGGTTTCTTTACATTTCTTAGGGAATTATGCGTAGCAACGCAACATGCGCGGCTATTAGCCTTAGAAATGTGTCTTAGTTTGGTGTCTTGTGCAATTCATTTAGGAACACTGGAAAAAATGTCTTTCATTATGTGAGCTTTTTGATTAGCGGTTTTGAACTAGATTGTGTTTGTGAAGATCTGTTGAGATATACCCTCGTGGGTGAAAAACATCGTGGGTTAAGAATTTCTCTTCTTTATTCAACTGGGAAAAATATGAACTCTCAAAGAATGCAATCATTACGGTTTTAACCAAAATGCATCATTAATGTTCAAAGAATCTTCAACCAATCTTATTTTAATGAATATGGTTAAGCCAATTTTTTTTTAAGTAACTATTCAGGAAATTTTAAATTCTCCGAATGTGTACTCTGAGTTTTTAGATCAAATGAATTTCTAAAGTTGAAAATTTCTTCATGCGGCATTAGATTAGTGTAAAAACTATTTTGAGGTATCTTATGGAACTCTTAAAATGTACGGTATTAGCCAAAGGCATTAGTTAATTAAATTTGCAACTATGTGAAATTTTATTATACTAGTGCTATTTGTTTTGGCATTGTTTTTTGTTTAAGAAGCACTACTTTTTATGATTCACTCGTTTATCATTACCTTCAGCGGTTTGGCCCATTTTCAGGCTCAAAAGCAACTTCAAATCATTTGCGTACTTGATTTTAATGGAATCAAAGCTAAAAATTCTTTTCAGGTAACTATTACAAAAATTTTAATAAAAACTCTTGAAGTGTTCAGATCAGATATACTCGATTTTCTCATCATGTTTACTGTTGAATATCACGTCTTCTGAGCTAAATGCTGACAAAAATTAATAACATTTCAAACATTAGGACTTAATTTTTTTTTACCAATTTTTAAAGATTTTGTTTTGAGCAGCACATTTTGTGGGATTTGTCTTGTATATACACTATATTTATTAATTATCGATGCCTTATCCTATTGTTTTCTATTTATTTACGTGAGTCAGTTTAAAGAACTGTCACAGGTCTTCTAGCGTTAGCTGCAGATTCGATTTTCAGTAAGAACTCAATAAACTAATATATTCATTCAAAAAATCAAATAATTATTTAAAAAGTTATCAATAAAAATAAAATCTTTCTTTTATTGTTACTGAAAAAACTAATAAAGAATTCATTCCTTTCTGCTGCAAACGTAAAATAATGGAAGCCATGCTTAAATATTCTCGCCAAATCGCCAATAGCTTAGGTTCTCCGTTACATATTAGATGCCATTTTAATTGACGCGCTATTCTATGACCTAATTTGCAACTGTGCAAGAGCAACGAATACTAGAACACAAATTTAATCCGCACCTAAAATAATCTGAATCCCGATATTAGTTTTAACAAAAAAATGGCGAGATGGTTTGTTTTCTTTACTTTTGCTCTTATGGTTACAGTGATTCTTGAAGTCCACGGTGATGTTTTCGTTCAACAACTAAACACTGATAGTGGTAAGTAACACATTAAAGTAAGAGAATCATTTTTATGATTAATCAAGAAATTATCAGGCGATGTTACTTCGTTTGATATTTATTACTTTAACTCGAAATGTTTTTCGGCATTTTAGTAATGCCTAAATTAGAAAATTAAATAATGTGGAATATTATCTATTCGTCATTTTGAGATTGTCTTCTTGACAGATGATAAAAATAACATCTATCTTCTAAGCACGCTCAGTCGATAAAAACGCATTTTTAGCAGAATATGTCTAATTGTACGGATAAAAATCAAGATTTGAGTTGAAAATTGACGAACATGTATTATTTTTATTTTTCCAGCAAAAATAAAATATTTAAAATAAATCTAATAAAAAATAACAAATAACTACATAAAATTTTTAATGCTAATAAAACAAAAGTCGTACTTGATTGTAATGGAGCTTTTTTAAACACGAATGGATTTTTAGTCTCGAAACATGATTTTGCATTGATTCACTTAAATGCACCATCTGAATTTTCTTTTGTGTTTGTTGCTATTTATAAAAATATATGATGTTTATCTTTCTAATTTAATTTACCTGTTAATAAACTAAGCTATTTAAAAGCAATAGATGCATTTTTTTAAAATGCTTTTTTTGGGGGGGTTGACCTTTTTGATCTAATCGAATTAAATAAAAAATGCATTCCATTTATGACATATTTAATTGAAAATATTAAATATTTTTACAGAGTTACGCTCTATATTTTTCAATTTTTAAATATACAAAAGATGTAAAATGTTTCAAGATTATATTAGTATATATAGATTTCCATATTAGTCTAAATGTAGATTCATCTAGTATCCTATAAAATATTTCACTATTTCACCTGCGTAGTATCCTACACAATGTTTCTCTTCTGCTTGAAAACGTTCTATTGATAATCTCTTCCAATAAAACCATATTAAATAAAACAAAACTTTCGGACTATTTGCTAAAATTTGAACTCTTTGAGACCTTTTTTTCATTTAAATTAAATTTATAGGATAAATTAATTTTTTAATTAAGCGCTGGTTATTCTAATTTCTTCCTCTCTTCTGAATTTTGAATATGTGTGAACTGAAAACCTTTGTAGGTAGAACAAAAACCTGGAATTCGATATTTAGAATTTTTTGTAAAAAAATCGTCAAAAAATGGCAAATCTCCAAATAGAAACTTTTGCATCCAAACTGATCTTGAAATCCCTAAAATGTCGATGAGTTGCCAAATTTAGCGCCGTCTAATGAAAGAACTCAAATCCCCCCCCCCAAAAAAAAAGGGAAAAGTTGTTTTCTATGTAATATTTTATGAACTTTTTATTCGGAAGAAAGAAAGAAAGAAAAGAAAAAATATTATTTCGGAAAGGTTTACGTTTCAATTGAGGCAGGTACCCTTGCCTAAAATTCGAGTATCCACCGTTTATAATAAGAAGTATGAAAGAATTCGAACGTTAATCCATCAAATCCTTCAAAATGTTAATTCATGCTCAAAATTTTAGTCGTAAAAAACCGGGAATAATGTCAGATGAGTAAAATTAAGGATCTCTAGCCGATTTTGGCTGAAATTAAGGACCAAAAAACCCAAGGACTTTTAAATACTTTTAAGAACTGTACGAATCCTTGCACATCAGAGAGATAATATTGAGTCAAAGCTTAATTTATAAAATTAGAAGTGCTGGTGCTCTATGTAAGGCCGGCAGGAGAGATGAAGTAAAATAAACAATTAAAATTCAATAGAAAGAAAAGGAAAAAATTCTTAAGGCTTTTAAGAATAGGGGCCTTTTTAACGTTTTATATGTTACCTTCATTTATTAGATATATTCTTCGCATTTAAACCATAAAATTCAATTCAACAGCCATATCGCAAAATAATTTTTAAATGAGCATATCTTTAGAATTACCGAAACACAGTCTCGCGCGCTGGAGTTTTTTTTTTTTTTTTTTTTTTTTTTTCGTAGAGTGTTGTCATTGCTCGCTTTGAAATCATTGAGTTTGCTAATCAAAAGTTCTTTAAAGTGTTACAAAATATGAAATCGATAATAAAACAAATTTAAAATTCCAAATTAGGGCTTCCAGATGCCCATATGCCGTGGAGGATAACGTTATTCAAAATTTTATGGCTCTAGGTACCGTTATTTAATCACAATGCGCGCAGCATGCATGCATTTATACAGATTGCTCATTATTTAATTTCTTTAAACTATAATATAAACTTTAAACGCAACACAGAGCGATAATATTTGGTGGCAACAATTTGAAAAATGACATTTAAAGTTTTCAACGCAAAATACCTAAAATTAATAGCCCTTCTGGGCTAAAAATGTACAAATATAAATAAAAAATTAACAAATTAAGTTAAATTAATGATAAACAGGTAAATAGTAAAAAGAGTATTAAAGTATCATCTTATTTGGGGCTCTGGCTAGAATTAGAATTTCATTTAAAATCTAAGAACTACCAGAACTGGGCTCTAATAAGCTTACATTAAGACCTGAATGTAAAGTATAATGTACTATTTCAAGAGATAGTACATTATACTATAATTCAAAACATTCTTTTTCCAGCATACTAATGACAAAAAATTGTAAAACAGGTTAAGCGCCATTAAAAGACATTAAGAGAATGTTAGAAACAGTATGACACCATGGAAGGAAATTTTATGGAAAAGCTTGGGTAAGAAAACAAAGCAAAAAAGAGACTTAAATACTGTCTGACCACGATTTCCGTCTATATAATTATAGCTATCGATAGGAAAGTGTTACAGGGTAGAGACCTGGTCCTGATTTTGATGTTATATCTGTAAGTTGAGAACAAAGATTCTGCATAAGTGAGCATTTTCGTCGCCTATAGTTGGTTATATCGTATAACATTATTCGATACTAGTTAGTTTCGAATTCTAGCTAATACTAGCTAGTAGATGGTGTTCTTGAGGAGTTTATCTTAGCATTCCTCTATGTGTTAGGCTCGATAACGTTAACATTAACAACTCGAACACAAAAGACGGTTGCCCTCTGCGTTCTGCAGTAAAAAAGCGGATAACTGAAATCGCTTATACCGAATCAACGGGTAGGAGGCACGACTAGGCTGACCACGAGAAATTTTCCCATCTCCAATGTTTCGTAAATTTATTATTACTTTTTGATAGGATTTTTTTTTTTTTTTTTTTTTTTTTTTTTTTTTTCCCTCCTTCTTCTCAACGTTAATTCACGGGCTTGTATCCCAGGGAAAGAGGGGTATACATTGCTTAGTTCGGACTTCCAAGTCTTACTTGTTGGTAAAATAAAATGTTTATGATATCAAAAATTTTCTGTTGAAATTGCCGTCCAATTAATAGAAAAGAATTGCTTGAGCTCATATTATTTAGTGCTCCGATGGGATTCTGTTTTGTCAAAAAGCGAGAATTATTTAAAAACAACATACCCTTAGAATTCTCGATAGAATATTAAGGGTTTCCGTGCAGGGGCTGTGCCCTTATAATAATAATAATAATAATAATAATAATAATAATAATAATATATGCATATATACAGGGTGATTATAATTAAAGTTTAAGTTTCAAAACGCTATAAAAAAAGAACCACTGATGAAAATGATGTGAAATTTGAAAGGAATGTTATTGAAGAAGGCGGAAAGCGTATGGCAGAAGAAAAAATTTAGTTTCAAAAGTTAGCAACAGATGGCGCTGTAAGCGGGAGAATCACGAGGAGAAACGAGAAATGATTCGTAAAACAACGGCTAAGGTGGAAGTTACACATTAAAACGCATTGACAAATTAGAATTGTTGAATAATTTTATTTGCATGACTGTACATATCACATCGAAAGGGACAAATCGGTTTCAAGAGTTTTGCGGCGACATACCGCATAAGAACCATTCATCAAAGCAGTTCGGAACTGTCACGAGACTGGCGCAAAACATGTTCAATATGGTGTCCACCGTTGTGTGCAACAAGTTGAAAGCGACAAACAGCATGTTCCACAACGGATCGCAGTGTCTCTCCGGGGTGATGTTCAGAATGTGTTGCGAAATGCGTGCCTTTAATTCCGCTAAATTTTGCATTGGAGCACGGAACACAACATCCTTCAGATATCCCCACAGCCAGAAATCACACGGAGTAAGATCAGGCGATCGGGACGGCCAGGCTGTAGGGAAATGACGGCTGATAATTCGAGCATTTCCGAAATGGCGCCTCAGCAGCTGCTTCATGGGATGTGCAATGTGCGGAGGAGCGCCATCTTGCATAAAAATGATTTCATCCACACATCCACGCTGTTGCAGAGCTGGAATCACGTGGTTGCGCAAAGAGACGCATACCTCTGACCAGTGACGGTTGCGGTAACAGGACCGGAAGCACCCGTCTGCTCGAAAAAATATGGTTGTAGGATGAATGATGCCGTAAAGCCACACCACATACCGTGACCTTTTCAGGATGAAGTGGTACGGGGTGCGTTGCCAGTGGATTTTCTGTTGCCCATATTCGACAATTCTGGGTATTCACGTATCCTGTCAGATGGAAATGGGCTTTCATCTGTCCACAAAATTTTCCACGGCCATTCATTATCCACTTCCATGCGAGCCAGGAATTCTAACGCAAACGTCTCCCTAGCTGTCAGGTCAGACGGAAGCAACTCCTGCACATAGCCAATTTTGTACGGATAGCATTGCAGGATGTTTCGTACAATTTTCAGCACCGTGCTCGTAGGCCTGTCCAATGTTCGGGCAATTCCTCGTGCACTGCACGGTTGCACACCACCGGCCGACCCCTCCTGTAATGCTGGGACCACTTCTTCAACTACCGTCGAATGCACTCGTTTTCTCCCTCTACCAGATTGCACATCAAACGAACCTGTCGTTTCGAATTTTTGCATCATTTTCTTTAGACCTACGACACTCATTGGACCAATGCCTTCTTTTATACCCTTCAGTGTCCTGAATTTTTGCAGAGCTACTCTTGCACAATCATCATTCTTGTAATACAGCTTTACCAGCAGAGCGCGGTCCTGCAGTGAAAACACCCATGGCGAACGTCTGAGACGCGAAATGAGGAACAGCCTGGTACCTGGCGGCTTTATAACACTGAAATTTAACTAACATTTTAATTTACGTCTTCTTCCGCTTGCAGCGCCATCTGTTGCTAACTTTTGAAACTAAATTTTTTCTTCTGCCATACGCTTTCCGCCTTCTTCAATAACATTCCTTTCAAATTTGACGTAATTTTCATGAGTGGTTCTTTTTTTATAGCGTTTTGAAACTTAAACTTTAATTATAATCACCCTGTATGTAATGATTTTAATGCGCAGTCGAAGCTTGGAACTCTTACTAGCTTTCAATATCTATCATGGCTGTGGTTAAGGCACACAGATGAAGATAACGACTTAAATTTCTTTAAATAGCCAATCTTTATTTCCACATATCCAATTAATTTGGCAGACATTCAATCATAATGAAATAAGATAAATTTCTATGTACATTGTTTTTTTTTTTTAATCTTAAGACGTAGGCTTTTGAGAAGCAAAGCGGTGCGAGGATGACAGAGCAGCAGTTAGGGAAGGGAAGAATAATGACATAATTAACTCGCCAGCGGTATTAAAAGAAATCTTAGGTATAAGTAGAGTTAGTCTGTGATTGGTTAATTTGACGTTGTTACATGACATAGAAGATTTCCGAATTGGGGATAACAGATGAATTTAGAAAAAGATCGCCATATCTAGAATGTAATTTTGAGGTCGCCAGTTATTTTTAAAGCAGCTATCGTATTTTCTTATATTTTACATATGCATATATCGCTTTCAAATCGCTGAAATTGTTAAACAAAAATTTAAAAAATTTTTCCAAAATGTAAAGTGAATGAAAAACAAATTGAAAATTCGTGGTACCGATGTTTGGATGGACGACTACGCGTTCTAAAAAATTCGGTGGCTCGAGGGTCCGCTGTTTTCCACAGTGCGAGGAACACACACACATACATGCAGATTCTTCATTATTTATTTACTTCTTAATAATAAATTCATCGCGATAAGATTTGGGAATAACAATATGAAAAGAATTTGATCACATGATGTGGACAAAAAGCGAATTTCGAGACTAAAAACAGTTTTGCTGCTTCAAAAGAAAATCGAATTGGCCGAAAAAAAACTGATAAGTATTAAAAGAAGTATTTTCTTACATTTTATAATAATTAAGTTACGAGTTTTAAATAATATTAATAAACCTTCCTTCCCTTTCAGAAATACTCATAGAAAATTAAGTACATGGAAATTAGAAATCAGCAACAATATTGAACGTATTTAACTTAAAATAAAAGGTGTTCTAATTTGAAATGAGCCAAACACGGCATTAATGGTTGGAGTTAAAGATTACGATTGAAAGCGGTATAATTTAATCGAGAAAAGCCGATGAATGAAATTACATGGAAAAAACTCGCTGCAGCATAAAAAGAACATACCTAATAATGCCGTGAATTTTCATAAAAATTATCAGTTGGATATGTGATAAATTAACTAGATTTAAATATAAAAAATAGAAATTATTAAGATATGCGTTTCTTGTCTTCATTCAGAGTATTAAGTAACCAAAGTTACGATTCGAAAGATAACTACAAGATCTTATGCAACAGAGAATAATACATTTTAAGCACTGATTATCTGACAAGCTGCGTAAAAGTTCAAAAATCTAATTTCTTTTGGATTGGAAACTCTTGCTAGACAACATGTGTGATAAATGTTTTCGTAGCATAATGTAACGGACAAAAGCCTAAACCATTTTTCCACAGGCATTTCTGATGTGAGAAAAATAACTGCACTACAAAACGCGAACTAAAATTCCCTTTATTCCTTACCTACATATAAGTGTAGTTCAGCTAATGAATAGTAAAGAAATAAAAATAGAGAAATTTTCAAATTCAGTCAATTAAACGTATTCGCTAATGCTCAGTCCTTTTTTTATAGGATTCTGTGAAGGTCAGGAGTATGGTCGTATTCAGGTTGGAGAAGTTAGTTACAATGACGAAAAATGCCTACAATTTTCCTGCACTGAAGGGTTTCTTCACAGAATCGGGTAAGTCAAAAATTCATCGCTTTTTATCCTGAAAGAAATGGTAGGAAATATCATCTTACAATAAACCGAAAACGGCCCAAAATATATCACACTAAAGCAAATATCGGCGAAACACCCAGTCAAATATAACATTTCTTAGAACTCTGCTTGCCCAGTTAGCTTATACTTTTCAAAAATTCTTGATCGCTTCCCACGGAGGTAAGAAAGAGAGGAGACGCCCGAACTGGTTTTTCCTATACACTCTCGTGAAGCAGTGACACACCCCTCTTGGTGACTAAAACATACAGTGACTTTCCATGAAGATCAATAAGTTTTGACATGATCGGAAGTAAACATTTTGTAATTATGTTGTAAATATAAGCATAAACGTATATTTTGCTTTTTCTACAATATTCAGAGTTCTCAACATCTGAAGGAATACACTGTAAGGATTATGTTAATTTTATTAACAGTTGAATTTTGAGTTAAATTTCCTTTCCTATCGCTTCTTAATTTCAACTTACCACTTCCGGCCAGAATGTAGTTTTAGAATCACGTCTGAATGCTAATGAGGAAGAGCAGTATTTAACCGCGAAGTTCTACTGTTTTAGTGAGAGAGATACCAGATATTCTGGCTGTACGCGTCCGCCTTTCTAGGCTACTCTCTCGTAAGCTATTATTACGCTCGGCTGTACTTTGGGCCCTTGATAGCTTTGCAGTCAATTAGCGTTAAGGGGCCAACTCTGTTAAAATTTTGATAGCTTCGACTACATCTCTTTAGTTAAGATTAGTTTAGTTTAATTCATAGTCTCTTAAGTTCAAGCCCGAGTATCGGCTTTATTCTACAACTCCAAGACGGAGTTCTGTTACACTTGATTCGAATAATAAAGGGTTATTATTTTACCCTTCTATCATGCTGTTTCCTGTCACACGAACTCTACGCGGTTATTCGCTTGTCAGTTCTTAAGATTCTTCACTTTCAACGGTAACTTAGAATTACACAGTGGAGAATCCTACAACACTTTTAAACAACATTTCATTCTGAACAGAATTAAATGCTATAACTTTCCCAGAACAGTTTTAACAGCAAATAAAGCAAACAAGAATGTTCCGTGGAGTGATAAAATATTTTTTATTAAGGTAAAAAAAAAAAAAAAAAAACTGGACAACCATCTAGCGCAAAGTGGAGCTGAATGAAATTCATGAGGATTCTTCTCTAGCACTGAAGACAGTTTGTTTCTGGATAAAGAGGTTTGCATATAGTCAAACATATACTATACTGAAGATGAAAGGCGTTCTAGATGTCTTAGTTGACGGCGATAGAACTAATATATTATTAGAAAGGTTTCATGGTGTCGTAAGATGGAAAATCAGTGAATGAAAATGTGCAGTGCTGCTAAGAATGTAAGAATCTCAAATGCCAGTGCATAATATCCATGACTGGGGGAGGGGGTAATGCGTGTCACGATTGTTTACTTTCGACTTGAAAGGGCGAATATCGAATGGAACATTGGATCCACCATTAAATGCTAAGCCAAAGCAGTAGCAAAGCTAGGGAAGATCACGGCTTTTGAAACCTACTAGCCCTCAAACTTTGTCAAAAACCCTACACACCAATTAATCTACTACATTCTTTAAGCAAGATCGTTGAAGTAGAATCCTAAACAGACTTCGCTCTTTCAAGGAGGAATACCACATGCTTATTCAAAACTAATTTTATATTTCGCCGCCAGCTGTTTACACGGCGCACCAGCTCTTTAGATTTGCTGAGTGCTTCTAAATGGATTACCCCCCCCCCAAAAAAAAAGAGAGAGAAAATTACTGAAGGTAGCCAAATCTTTCGATCGTGCCTAGCTCAACGCGTTCCTATGTAAAATATACAACCTGGGCTTCCCAGGTTACATCACGAACATCATTAAATTTTACCTAACAGGTAAATGCTTTATCATATCTCCACCCGCCCAGCATTTCTCTCAGGTGTTCCACAAGGGTTTTCTTAGGACTCAATCTATTTAGCATTTATGTTAAAGATATTCCACATACATTAAGCACTACACTAGCAATGTTTGCTAATGACACAACGATCTTTGCAGAAAGCATATTTCTTAAACCATTCAACAACATTTACAAAACCACATAGATGCACTTGAGGCCTGGATAATCAAGTGGAAAATGCAAATAAATGTCAACAAATCAGCAGCAATTCTCTTTACTACAAGAATTAACTGGAAACTAAAGCTACAAGGCAATATCTTTCCCTGGTCAAAGCAAGTCCTTTATCTCGGAGTGATCTCACAAATATTCTCACATGAATCTCTCACATCCCATCTGTTATTAAAAAGCTTCAGGCGAGTAAAGCGAGATGCGTCCAGTGTTATATTACACCTTCCTTACCTGCGCGTATTTACGGTGTATCAACCGCAAACAACTATAGACTGTTTAAAATATTATAACATAAATTTGTAATGCCCAGTTACAAATAAAAGGCACAAAATAGTAAAATTTACGAAGAGCTGCACATTGTTGAGTTCAGAAGAGTCTGTTACAAAAATAATTCCAAGAGAAACCCCGCTTAATTACTGACAAATGCATTAATGCATAAACGATGTAAGCAATGTTAAACGCTTAAAGGCAATTCTGAATGTTAAATATAACTTAATGGGTAGAAATATAAATTCTCTGTTTGTCATTTGGTTAACATTTGTTTTGCCACCTAACCGGGAGTGGTTAGCAACACTAACTGCCGTACCGAAGGGCTCGAATTCGAATCCCCGAAATAGCAGATGTATGTAAATGTATGGCGCCTGTTTGGCAAGGGGACATTTTAATTATGTGTCGAGCCAAAAGTCTTCTCGAGTGGTTGATGATAGGGGAAGAGAGGTGGCAGACCCTCGGACTTGTCGCCCCCCCCGGGTGTACTCGCCATCAAAATTGGGGGCATTTGTAATATTTCGGTCTCATTTGGAGCACTTTTCGTACATCCTTAATATTTAAATTTCTAAAAATTGTTTAATATAATTCTTTAACTTAGTTCTTTTCTCGTAACTGTAATAAGTTTTCATTATACTTCTTCCATAATTCCTTAAATTTTCTTTGCCCGTAAAATTTTGCGGCCTTATGACTTTTATTGTTGGGAAACCAACTTCACAGTATTGTACTTTATATTGCTAATATATCTGTAATTTTATTGTTGAAATTGTAGCTGAAGGTGGAATTAATCAAAGAGATAAGAAAAGTCTGGTAAATTTTAATAAGCTTGTTGTTAAAGTTATTAATTCGCAGGCTTCTTTAAAATTTAATCAAAAGGATACAAAGAAGCTTGGCAGCCGTTTACAAAATTTTAAGCTCATGTTAAAATTAAAGGATGACTTAATTGAATATTTGAATCAGACAATCGCTGGATATCAAGCTCGGGAATCGCTTCTAAATTTACTCACTTCCTTAAAAACTGTGTTAGAGGAGAGAATGGGCTCCATATGTGATACTGCGAACTAAAAAACAAATACTGATGCTTTAGACATATGCTATAATGATAAGAATGTGCAAACTGACGCTCTGGAGTTGTGTTTTTTTGATAAAAATATACAAACTGACCATTTCAATATTAAGGACAAAACGAAGTCTAAGTCACTCCATTGGTATCTAGTATTGATATGTAAATGGATGTGGATTCGTTGGCTGCTTCTACGAGTCTAAGCGTTAAACAACCACAGATCTTAGTTCCAATTACACCTAAACAAGAGAGAAGTCATTTCAAACTGTAACCTGTAAGATGAAAATACGTGCGGACCCTGCATTAATTATTAAATCTACGAATCCTTCATGTATATCAGTTGGCTTCAAAGATTAATCTACAGTTGAAAGTTTGGAGTTTCAATCCAGAATATCAAGACAATAAAATAGAATCAACTGTTTTTAGTTAGCTGCTTCTCTAGAGAGCAACTTAAAAAGCTAGAGTCTACCCTTCTTTCCTCTAATAAAATCAGCTCCGAACTTAAGGAAAAGTCTAACCTCAGATGGACTCAATTTTAGTCTTCGGAATCCCAGAAGATTCTACGGTTGAAGAAGTAATTGCAGTAGTGGCTCCACAATCGGTTGCACGTTTCATCTCTCTTCGAACAATAATTAGACATTAAGTTCAAGATTTTACTTGAATAATGAACATAAATAGAGACTATCTGGTAGAACTGCGATTGTGTGGTAAAAGTTTCATAGGCTTTACTTCCTGCTATTTTCCCAAGTTTGTACAAGTGCTCAGATGCTATTGCTGCCAGGCTTTTGGTCAATGTCGCACAAATTGTAACCAGGCCTATATTTGTGTACATTGCGCACAAACACATGAAAGTTTTGGTACATAACGTCACGCTGGACCCTCATATACTAACAGTATTAGGTTAAATCTTGTTCGAGGCATAAATTTCGGGGTACTGATCATGTTTCTAATTCTAGTCCACCTCATTTACAAAGTTTGTTCTCATGATTATTTATTTTGATTTGTTTCAACGGTTATTATTAAGCTTAATAATGACTTTAACAAAATGATTATGCCTTAACAAAATGATTATGAATTGTTATGAGTATAATGTGATTTTACTAATATTATGGATACATAGGTGTTGCCAAATGGGGGCAAATTTGTATTCTGTAAAGAATTTTATTATGAAATTATTACTTTGCATTATTTTGACTGATTTATTTCACTACGAATCTGTTATGGACTCATTCTGAATGCGTTTTATTTCTTGACTAATTAGTATTCGAATTCAAGTATTGAGTTCATAGCAATTCATGAATCCATTATGAACGCAATTTTTAACTATAAATATTAACTTTGAAATATAATTAATTTAGTATTGTGAAACATTAGAACATGTTATAGACCCATAATGATGGGCAATATGCTTGTAAATATTATTGCTGTATTATGCCATTGTATATTATTGTATTATATTTGCATTTCTCGTGAGACTCAGAAGACTGAAGGCAGCCGATTCAATAGCAGGAATAAGAACATTTTTATT